ATTTTTGTAAGTTTGAGCCAAATTGTCAACAAATGCAGGGAAGCAGAACCTTAATGGATTTGACATGATGCTCCAGAGAATGGCAGTTTTGCACCTTGTTTTATGCATTACAATCAAAGGAGAAGATGTAAGTGGGTTCCATGAAATCCATTGGTGATAGATTAGGGAGGTGGGAGAATGCAAAGCAGGGAAACCTCTGGGATTGGATAAAGAGTAAAATGATAGACACATCTTTTACATAGGTGGGTAAGAGACAGTTAACAGTCAACAATTTATGGTCCCTGCCCTGGTGCATTGGTTGTGCCCTGAGGGGTCTGGAAAAAGGGGAGTTACCCTGACATTCCAAAGGAATGTTATTGTAGATGCAAAAGACAATAGACTTAGTTAAGGTAAAGACTGACCTTTGTCAAGGGGCCGGGCGCTGCTCAGCGGTTGAGCATCGACCTAGGATCCAGGCGATCAGGGTTCGATTCCCAGTCAGGGCACATGCCTGGGTTGCTGGAAGAATCCCCAGTCGGGGGCCTGCAGGAGGCAGCCGATCAGTGACTCTCTTATCATGATGTTTCTCTCTTTCTCCCTTGCCTTCTTTCTCTCTGAAATCAATAAAGATATATTTTTTAAAAAAGGTTGACCTTTGTCAGGGAAGATACCTGCCTAGGACATGACTACCCACCATAAACTTTTAGTTAAAAAAGTTTTCATTTCAGACCATCCTTTGTGGTTACTTTAGGTTTCTGGGTTTGCAGGGCCACCATGCAAGCCTTACCTGAGCTTGTCAGGTTAGCATGTGGCCCCTTTTCGTCCACACTTAGAATTAAGTCCTACAAGGCATTAGATTCAGGATATGGTCTTGCTTACAACTCCAGTGTCATCTCCTGCCACTTGGTGGTATTCTGGCCACACAGACTTTCTTCCTGTTATTTAAATGCAAGAAACTTCTTTCTCCCTCAGGATCTTTGCCATTGTCATCCCACTGCCTGGCATGTTCTTCTCCCAGATCCTCACCTGGCTTGTATCCTCACTCCTGCTCTGCTTAAATGTCACCTCCTCAGAGAGACTCCTCTTTTTAAAATATGCTGCTCTGCCCTGGCTAGTGTGGCTCCATCGTTAGAGCATTGGCCCTCACACCAAAGGGTCAGAGATTCTACTCCTGGTCAAGGGCTTCTACCTGGGTTGCAGGTTCAGTACTTGCCCAGCTGGGGTGTGTGCAGGAAGCAACCAATTGATGTCTCTCTCTCACTTGGATATTTCTCTCTTTCCCTCACTCTCCTCCCCCCCCCAAAAAAAAAAAATCAATGGAAAAAAATATATCCTTGGGTGAGGATTAACAAAAAATAAAATACGCTGTTCCTCCCTTTAGTTTTCTTTATTTTATAATATTTTTATAGCATTTATATGTAGTTATTAAAAAGTACATAATTTAATTATGTAATTATCAAGTTCCTTATTTATTAGCTAATCTGTGTACATTTCTTGAGGGAAAGAACTTTGTCTTGTTCACAACTATGTCCTTGGCATATGGGGCCTGGCACATAGTAGGCTTTCAGCAAAATTTGTTATGAATAAATGATTTAAAGAATAAAAATAGAATACCTCCTTGAGGACACATAAGAAACTGGGAATAATGATTGCAAGGATGGCAACTTGGGAGCATAGGTCAGAGGCAGTTGGGAGGTTCACTTTCATTTTAAATGAAACTGAATTTATTTTTTTTTACCATACACATGTATTGCTATTTCCCCTCCAAAATTTTAATTTTCAACTACCATTGACACTCAATATCATTTTATATTTGTTTCAGGCATATAACATAGTAGTTAGATAATTATATAATTTACAAAGTGATCCCCCTGATCATTCAAGTACCCACCTGGCACCATACATACTTGTTCGAATAATATTTATTATTTTCCCGGTGCTGAACTTTACATCCCCGTGACTATTTTGTAACTACCAATTTATATTTCTCAATTCCTTCACCTTTTCACCCAGTCCCCCAAACCCCTTCCTCTCTGGCTGTCGTCAGTTTGTTCCCTGCATATGCCCCCCCAGAATTTTTTAAGACAATTACGATACAGCACCCCTCACCCCACCTCCCATCTGCACAGGATACATTCCAAGGCCCCCAGTGGATGCCAGAAACCATGGGTAGTACCAACCCCTATACACACTGCTTTTTCCTGTACGTAAAGTAAACTAGTATTTGGGGCGGCATGATCCAATAGAACTTCCTTAATGATGGAAGTGTTCTCTATCTGCATTATCCAGTACACTAGTTACTAAGCCATGTTTGACTGTTGAGCAGTTGAAATGTGGCTGATGAGACTGAGGAACTGATTTTTTTTGTTTGGTTCTAGTTTTTTTGGTTTTTTTTAATCTTTTTTTTTTTATATATATATCTTTATTGATTTCAGCGAGGAAAGGAGAGGGAGAGAGAGAGATGGAAACATCAATGATGAGAGAGTCATTGATCAAGCCCGCAACCCAGGCATGTGCCCTGACCGGGAATCAAACCCCGATCACCTGGATCCTAGGTCGACGCTCAACCGCTGAGCCATACCCGGCTGGGGCTATTTTTTAAATTTTTTTTTTAACATATCTTTATTGATTTCAGGCGG